TGGAACAAAAAAAAACACCATAATATAATCCTAGAAAGAAAAATACAAACGGATATTTTTGTATACAATAATAATAATATAAGTGTGTTTGAAAAATCCACAGCGGGAGGGAAAAAATAAGGTTGTTGCGCATACGAGGGAAAAAAATGCGAATTGCGTACATTCAGTTGTTTATAATATATATATATATATATATATATATATATATTTATGAATGAAAAAAAATGTGATAATAAGAAATAAGAAATAAAATAAAACGTCTCCGAGTGTATATAATATTATGTAATATAACGTATATAATAGTTTTTCTATGATAAAAAAAAAGAATGCGACCTTAGCTTGACATTTGGCCGTGCCAAAACATATATACATGATATAATAATATGCTATTCCAAAATGTGATTATTTTTCATCGTCTTCTATATTTTACATATCGGAACTTATATACCTATATATAGAAGTATGTTATCATTTTATGGAGCGCCAGTCGTGTCGATTTTGATTAGTATATAATATATTATCTATTATTATAAATTATTATTGTAGACATTATTGTGTATAGGTACCTAACTCTCATCTCCGGAACAGCCTAAGGCTTTGGAGATGACCAACTTAACTTGATTTTCTTTGTTGCAATTTGCGTTGTTGGAAAGTACATAATATATCAACCAATATCGTTATTATTTGTTGCGTTATCGATGGACAATTTGTTTTTTTTAATCCATATAAGTATATTGTCGACGCTAGCAAACACATACGGTACAATCTATATCACAACAGTCCATCAGAACTGGTATGAAATAGGTGTATTAGTTGAGAAATCCTCCCCTACTTCCTTTCAAAATTGGGTGAACCCCAAAAAAATAATTTACTTGATCAGAGTGTCCAATAGCCCTTAAAATCCCAACACCTGAACAGCTATTTACTTGTCCAAATCCTTTTTACTTTTTACAACATTTACCGAATCCGTTTGGGTAGAACAGAAATTTTAAATCAGTTTTCATTCATTTTCCGCCAAAATTTCTTTTTAAAAATGGCAATTTTTTGTAGTTTTTCTTTTAGGGAGACACTTACGTTTGTTAATTGGAGACATCTTATGAACTTGAGCTTTTTAAACATGGTAACATACACATAAATGATTAACTTATTTAATTTAGATTAAAATTTGCTGCAATATTGACTGGTCCATGGCCGGTTTTAGAAATTTACTTTTTAAGTCGGTAATAAGTTACTCTCCACACCTCGTCTTAAATTTTAAACTTAAATAACCGGTCAACATTTTCAGCGAAATATTCAAATCCGTTTAAAATTGTCTAATTCTTTTTAGGTTTTAACAAAACTAAGCGACGGGGTAACTGTGATAATTATCATCTTGTATATACCGTTGACTCTTGGCGATCACGATGGGCCACCGATCTATCGATCCGCCGCAGTGTGATCTATATATCTATACCTATCTTCTGTCATGTCGCAGCACACGTATGTATGTATGTAGGTAGGTACCTAAGCACAATATTATATATAGCTAAGCATTATATACTTTCTAGACGGTGCAGCAGCAGCGGTTAACGTTGTAAAGTGCGGTATATAAAGGGAACACGACGTACCTATGTATATATATATATTGTATATATAGCGCTAATAATAATAATAGGCTATATAATATAGGTATTATAATAGGCTACAAAGAGTAGAAGGTAAAAAATAAAATATAAAAAAATGGTACGAGTTGTGTCGGGCTGTGTGGTATTGAGCTGCTGCTGTTGCTGCTGCACTCGATGCGTGCACGGTCCGCTGAACATCTCGAAACCTTTTGTTTGGCTTCGTTTCCCGTGAAAGTCCTTACTTTCGATTCGTCACGATCCACCATTTTTTATTTTGTTTTTTTATGTTGCCACTAGATTTTTATTTCGTAGGTATATACCTACATAAATCTTTTACTTTTTTCTTTTTTTTTTTTATATACATATATTCATATTATATTATTCCTCTCTCGCGGGTATTATCATTATATATATTTTACTCTTGTTTTGATTATTTTACCATCTTGTGTATTATATACATACAGATACATATAGGTATAACATGTCATATATTATATTCCTGCAACCGGACGGTAGCGTGGGTAGAGGTATCCTCTATAAAACACTTCTGTATTATAATGTAATACATAGGTAGAATAGCATTACCTACGTCCGCTGTTTTTTATAGAATAGAATATATATTTGTACGGGTTTAATTATTATATATATATAAGTAAAAAAAAAAAAATTGAGATCCATTATAATATATAGGTACGCCTGGTAAGGTTGAGGATGTTGGCTGTTGCTCAATAGGCGAATATCCCAATATAGTTTTATAGTTAAAATAGTAGAATGTTTTTTAAATTTTAATAACTAATACGCTCACTATGGTCAATATATAACTAATTTTGGGTAATTGCTTTTAAAGTTTTTGCAGTTTAAAATTTAAGACGTGGGATGGAATGCAGTAGAGTAATGCGTGCAGATCAAAATAACACTACACTCTCTACCATCCTAAATTGTTAGCTTTGAGTACTTTAAAAGTAATTATCTTAAACTGGGTATAGACCAGTTAACATTTTCAGCAAGTTATTGTCATATTGTAAATGATAATACATAAAATGAAGTGTCCCAAAAAATAATGTCCCTGTTCTGCATAGATATTTGTATTTGTAGGTATACCTATAACTAAGATGCCTGTACAATACATGCGTACGTTTTTTACCAAATATAACGTCGTTTAAAAAACAGGCCGAGCTCCTCCCCAGAATAAGTATTTTGCTTGTAGATCAAATATGTCGGGTTGTTATTCGTTGCTACGTCACGCATGGGCAACAAGTATAGGTATATATAACAGCACACGTGCATGCGCCTACCTGTGTATAGGTATTATATGTGTGGGCGGAAATGATAAAAAACCTAGTTGTAAAAAAAAACGGCGACCAAACATCTGGTGGATACCGCGTGACGCAACCAAATTAGGGGTCGAAGAGTATATACGTGTAATAACCCTTCTGGAAATTTACTTTTTTTTTGTTGAAAACGTTCATCTCATCTATATTTATATATATTATTGCCTTTCAATACACGATAGACAAACGTTTAATGTGCATTTTTTTTTAACTCACAGTTTATAGTATAGTCATACCGTGTGCGTCAGAAATATGTCAAGAATAGAGAAACCCAATGAGCTATATAGGTATTATAGTCTATGCGCGGACAACAATAGTGTATAGGTGGAAAAAAAGGTTAAAAGCAAAATTGTTAATATATATATATTTCATTAAAAAAAAAACTTGATTCAATATAGACATTTGTATATTATATTATATCAATAACAAGCTGGATTGCCAGTCACTATTATTATCATGTTCTGACGCATATATAGCCATTATATTTTCTATAGTACATCTAATCTGCGCGCTATAGCAGTACCACCTATTAACACTTAAGATGAGACTATTATTGTTATATATGACCAGCTATTGTTCTGTGTTCATATGTAGACTGGAAACCAGCACCGACTCGACCAATAGGCATAACACTTAAGAGCCGAGGAGAAAGCAAAGAACCAATACGACTTATACCGTACTTATAACAGTGCTATCCTATTTTTAGATTAGCTCAGGTTAAGTTCATATTATGTAGATTAGGTTTATGTTATGTTTAACAAATTGGCTTGCTATGTGTATATTGCTTTACCGAGAACGCCTTTATCATTTCCCGTTCGACAAATAGAAGATGTTTCTTCAAATATATTTAAACATGATATTTATACTATCAATGATTGGACCTATTATTGCATAGGATGTTATTTAATATATGTTATGAACAATTCCGTATCATGGCCCACATTGTTTTGTTGGACGTTTATTAATTGGATATAATTAATACTGGTAAAATTTCTCAGTAGGGCCATTATTGTGTGTTGAGCCCATTATAGAGTAATATACATAACATGTAAAGAGACTATAACTAACATATATTATACTAGCTTGTAAATATGCGATAGTGAAGCGAACAGAAAGATTAAAACCGGTATGCCGTATGACCGCAAGAAAAGAAAAGAAAATCGCTTCGTCGTCGAACAGTTGGTACTACCCCTTATCAAAAATATTATTGGGTTTTTCCGAAATACTGTTATCATTAATATATTATTATCACCACCGATATACGTCCTATTGAACGGTATTTGTTTTTGTCTTCCAACTAGATGGAGTCAGGCTTCCCAATCTAACCGTACCTTATGAATATACCTACATATTATATAGATAGTAGGTATTTTACAGAAAATAATACTTTCTTCGCGAGGGTTTGTGTGTTCTTGAAATGCTACTGGAAAATAAATCATATATAGTGACATTTAGGTATTACTATACAATGCGAACGGTGTTTTCGGAAAAGTGTATGTACACCGAACGTTAGTGATTTTTCCAAGTAACACGTTTGTTCGGTATATAAGAGCGATAAGAATTTTTATATCACAACAATAATATTATATACCTGTAGGTACAAGCGAGTACCTATAACCGTCATAATATGAGTAGATATAGGTATATACATATAAAGTATCCGTGTAAGTATGTATGTATGTATGTATATATATATATATATATATATAGTCTATAGAGAGAAAGAATAATATTTTAACGTCGGCATCTGTTTGGGCAACGTCAAAGTCAAATAAATTGCATGTATGTATGTAAGTACATGTATATATTTTTTTTTACTACCGAAATAACCAGACTGGCGTGAGGATAAAAAAATATAATAATAATAAAAAGGACGGGAGATGATAAAAAAAAAAAAAATAGTAAACGACGAAGGAAAATTCCGGCAATGACTTCATTCGCTCGGGCCGGGTCGACTGCCGTTGGTGGACCTTCGCCAAGACGCCACGCCCACACAGACATACCATCAGACCTCACGCCCCAAGCCGTTTCCAACAGAATCCAGTCTTGTTCGGGACACCAATGCGAGACGGCATTGCGCGCGTTTTTTTTTAAGAGGATAAATCCAAAGAAAATATTTTCTAAAAAGAAATAAAAACATATCGAGATATCGTTTAAGTTATGTACTTGAGTTGTACTTAAATATTATTATACTGACCGCCGGTCTCTCCTGATCCGAACGGGATAAATATTATATTATTTTTGTCGGTTCGGTTAATTTGTTTTTTTGTAATAATTTTTTAATTCGCCGTTTTTTTCGTTATTCGATGTTGGTCCGTTTACCGAACGTTTCGCGCACGGTCAAAGAAAGATGACAGTTACCAACTTTGGCATGATGAGGCCCTGTTTTACCGGATATCCATTTCAAGGCAAGTGTACCTACTATTTTGAACCGAACCTTGGGTAGAATTTCATTTGAGCGGTAGGGTTAGGTACCGGTTTTCAAACTAAAAAATTAACAAACACTCGAGCATTTGTCCGCCACCGAGACTCGGTGCTTTCCCTTCGAGTGTGCGTTTTTCCTGGTTTTTTACCAATCAAAATTTACATTTTTTTTTTTTTTTGTGCTTTAAACAATATTCATATATTATAATCACGGGTTTGTGCGCAGGCCAGGGCCGGGTGAACCAGTTAGGCGGTGTGTTCATCAACGGTCGGCCGTTGCCCAACCACATACGGCTGAAGATCGTCGAGATGGCCGCGGCCGGAGTCAGGCCCTGTGTCATTTCCAGACAGCTAAGAGTGTCGCACGGGTGCGTCTCCAAGATCCTCAACAGATACCAGGAGACCGGCAGCATCAGGCCGGGCGTGATTGGCGGCAGCAAGCCCAGGGTGGCCACGCCGGACGTGGAGAGGCGCATCGAAGAGTACAAAACGGAAAACCCGGGAATTTTCAGCTGGGAAATACGTGACAGGTGAGACCGAGAGAGAGAAGAGATGTTCAAATACACCTATTAACCCTTTGGCAAAGCTAAGGCCTTTGCTTGCTTAACACAAGGGCGTTTACTTTTATATAAGACAAGATTTGTCGAGCGCAAAGAGACTTTATTTTTGAACCGAGCGGCCGGTCTGTTTTGAATAAATGTCTGAATCCAAACTGTACTGGGGATTTCCCAAAACATACACACAACTTAAGCGATAACTGATGTAAAATATGATAAAAAACAAGGGTCGGAATTATATCTTTCTGAATTTTAAGACAATTTTTAACAAAATCCAACTTGAGGTGTTTGTCACCCGCCATGTTTGTATAAATGACTTTATAAAACTAATAAAAAAGATCCCATATGCTTCCCATAATAGTGCATCAACTAAAGTTAATTAAATTTTGTTTTGTTTCTATTTTACTGAAAAATTATTATATTTTTATAATAATTGCTTACCTACAATATTTTTGCATCAAACAAAATGTATGATTTACAATTATTACAATTGTCTTTTTTTCCGCCCAACCTCTACTCAAAACGTTTAACAATTTTTTTCTAAATATGTGTGCGAGTAAAGCAAATAAATACTTCTATTATTGTAAAAAAAAATATATAAGTACAGTACAATGGACAATTAACATTATGTTAGTATACAATTAACATCTGTAATCTGTTAAGTGCTACCTATCATCGTTTTGCTCTAGTTTCGTTTAGACAAAAATTAAACAAGATAGGTTTTTGGTATTGGGTACCGCTCTAGGATTTGAATTAGTAGTAGTATAAAAATATATCTATGTAATACTTAAAATTCATCGAAACTGCTATTTTTCATCTCATTCGGTTAGTGTAAAGTAGTAATAACGGTTTTTGTGGTAAAATTGCAATTGTTCGCTATAATATACTTAAAGTTTTTCTTGTATATTTTTCAAAACCCATTTCTCGATAGCGCTCGGTTTTTATTATTATTTTTTTTTTTACCTACTATTAAACTATTGTAATAGTAATAATCGTTACCATAATAAAAAAAAACCGTGTCCCGCTGTTTTATAGTTACACACACATTATAACGTTATAATCTCTCTGGCTGCCTGTGTATTATTATTATTATTAGCGGCTTCTCTTGACGTTTACAGTCAGTCATGCTGGTAATAATACACGGCTAGAGTGTTGTATAGTAGTAAGTAGTACTATGATGATGATAATAATAGTAATAATTATTATTATAACGTTGATAAATTAATAGAAACACTAAACCGCCGCCCACGCCCATCGCCGCGTGAACTCCAATAGCCGTTTGCGGTTCGGATAATAATAAATAAGGAATTATTACTATATAGACTCCACAAAACACACACACACATACACTTAATATGGCAATATTATTCTTTAACTCGAAAACCGTATCATAATATGTTTACCGCCAGAAATAATATATAGCTATAATAGTGTACACATAATATTCATTACACACACTGTGTTAGGTATGTTTTCGCACCCCCTCTCCCATCCTGGGGTAGTTCGTTGTTAAAACAAAAATACCCCTTGTTTAAACATTTGCCTATACATTAACATACTGTACACTTACATGCGGGGTGGTCGCAGCGAGGATGGTTTGCCATTGAGGAGGAAATTGCTTTTGTTTTTTGTTTTTTTTTTTTTTACTAATTTGATTTCATTTGCTGTACCTACACCTGTTTCGAATATTTTTTTATATACCTATCCCGTTTTTGTTTCAGAAATGACAATGAGTCCGCCCAATACCACGATAATAAAAGGTTAGTGTTTTTCATTGAATTTTCAAAATTTGAAACTTAACAGTAATAATAACAACACATGGGTGTATTACATATAATTATATTATATAATATACTACACTAATACCTATATTATAACATTGTATATTATGGAAATTTGTTTAAAATAATAACAACAAGATAGACAATAACCGTTTTTATATATTGTTAATTTATTTTCTTCTCATTAAAAGTATCTTTTTTTTTTTCTTTAATAAGCGTTTGCTTACACTCTTACAAGACGCGTGCTTGGTGATATCTTTTAATTGTATTATTATAAGAAAATACAGTTTTTACCCGCACACACTTGATACACACTGGTAAGGGGCTACTAATAAAGTCATCGTTTGTCATTCTGGGGGTGTTTTCTATTGTGTGTGTGGAGACATTTTTTTTTCTCTCCGTTGCAACCCTTTCGTCGTGTAGATAAGTGTAGACACGTCCGTAACAATATATAAGAGATGACTATATTAAAATAGAGATGTACCTAACATAATAATACATACAACGACAATACCGCTGCTGATATTATTATTATATATGGACTTACTGTATAGGGTGCCCGAATTTATTATATAGGCTCCTCTAAACCGGGGCTCTATCGTTACATATTATATTAGATGGCCCGTCGGGCAGTGTATGTTATATTATATTGTGTATTGTATGTTGTGTGTTTTTTTTACATAGATATTAGGTTTATACATATATACTTGGCCATAAATAACGGTCAGCCAACGAGCGACCTTTGGATCCTTTTTTTTTCCATCTATCTCTCTCTCAGACACACACCATCTTCAGTTTAATAGTATTCTTCTATTCTATCCTATTCGGAGGGTGTTTGTATAAGTGTTTTTTTTTTATTTATTTTTTTTACTTGCTCTTCTTTACCGTGTGTGTTAGGTAGTCGCCCGGTATGCACACACTGTTGGGCTATTTCACGCCCGTTAACCGATCCCGGCGCGACAATAATAAAACGCCCTGTATATTATACAACAGCCGAATAGCCGATAATATATTATTATTATGTGATAAATTAATGGTTTCCACCGAAGTGGGCTGAAATTTATAGCCGTACACCGCTTGTCAACTACTTGTAAGCGTGTAAAAACTCTCAAAAAACGTTTTTATTTTTTCATCCCTTTTTCTTCTTCCGTGGTGTCCAAAGCACCCCCTCCCCCTGTATAGGGTACCTATAATTATTATTTTCCTTTTAATGTTTTGTGTATTGTACCTGTATATAGGTCGGACGATTGCGGCGACACTGCAATCATTTTTAATAGACATATATATTTTTTTTGTAAATTTTAATTTCGGTAGTTCTTGAGTTCAACATTACATTACAAAACGATAGCGCAAAAATTTACCTTTACGGTGAATAAAATACAAATAAAAACAACTTCCCAGTTGACGCAACTAAACAATATATATATATATATATATATTATAAATGTCCGGTATGTCCATTGTTTTCCTTGAGGTTTTTTTTTTATTATTAGTTGTGCAATCCGATTGTCTTCGGTTGGCCATTACGCAATTATTGTTATTATTTTTATCCGGTGTTATGTTATCATAATAATAATAATGTAATGCAATCGTTTTTTAACATAACCGCAGAAGCGCACCCAACACAACCGCCCTCCACCACCCCTTAATTATTATTTAATAAGATCGGTTAAAAAAATAAAATGTAACAAAAAATTATAATATAACACAATTACAGTCTCGAGTAAAGTGTGAAATACATCACAACGTGTAAACTATTATAGACTTATAAGTTATACTCAATTGATGTTAGGTTTTAAAGAAAACCTACGTGTGTGCCCGTTATTCTAAGCTTTGGTTTTTCGATTATTTTATCTTGAACACATTTTTCCCAATTCTTATTCTTTGTTCACACTAAAAAAAAATGCATAATCCATTTTTTTACCGCATCCGACTGTGCCTAACTCTAACGGCGGTGGCGGCACGTGTGCATAAATTATTTTTTAAATGCTAAAAATATAACCGTTTAATAATAAAAAATATGTATGTTGTCCGATTACCACCGACACGAAGGACAAAAAAATATTGCATTGCACATCCTGTAAACATATTATTATTGTATTTTATTTGCTATCCTATTTTCCTTAGCTCGAGAGCTGCCATGTATTTTTTTTTCTTTACACACATGTCTACATTGGCTTACTTCGTTATTGTTTTTTTTCTTTTCCTTTCTATTCCTGTCTCCAGATGAAAACTTAAACGGTTCCCGTATAAAGAACGGTAGGAGGGCCGCCCCGTCGTCCGGACAACTTCATCATATTATTATATATTGGAAACCGTTGCCAGAGCACGTATAAACGGGTACCGGATGTTTTATCGCCTTTCCTTAAATGCGCATTGACCTATTATAAAAATACACGGAGACCGTCATTTACACAATTATTATTATTATTATTATCGAAACCATCGGACGGAGAAGAGCAACAATTTTTTTTCCCAACTACTTGCTAGCATGTGTGCAAAGATAGGTGGTTTCAAGTGCCTCGGGCACGCGTCTTGACTTAAACCTATAACCGGTGTTCAGGAAATCTTTCTCAAAGGGTACAATGCATAATATATTATGCCCATTACTCATTCCGAATCGACCCTTAACAGCATATTGGCATTGTAACTTTTCCATGACCGACCTAAAGAGCAGTATTATTGTAATTTAAATTTTAGTACACCAAATTGTAATGTGGCTTGTAGTTTTGGGCATGATATGTGCCTGCACCACCTAGTTATTGACAATGACCTCTTGTGTCTTTCTTCAGGTTGATCAGAGAAGGGCTGTGCGACCGAGGAAGCGCTCCGTCTATCAGTGCGATTTCAAGACTACTGAGAGGCCACGACGGCGACGATTCGGCGTCTGAGAAAAAAATCAGCGACGGTAAGTCCATATAACAAATTTATACCTACATTATTGTTGTATTATTTCTTGCGTAGGTATAGATATTGTGTCGTTCATTGTAAAAGTGAATTATCAGCTCCTAATAATTGTAATAGAAAATCAATAACAAATCAAAATAACGAGCTTTGTGATGAACTAATGTACTATAATATTATGACTTGACACTGACACCTGTTGCTGCTAAACTTACAACCTGTTGCTCGTCCGTTTCCAGTGCTATGTTTTCTATCTGAGCACTTGTGTTTTTTGAGTACTTTTTTCCCCAATGCCGCCAAAACGTTCAATATTGTTGTCTTGGTCATTTTTCCAATACCCAATTGTATGGCCAACTTTTTTTCTGCTGAACATCAGCAGCAGATAGATACACGTGCGACTTTGTTTCCCGTCCAGACCCCGTTGTGCTATTGATATTTTGAAATGTATATATTTTTTTTCAAACTCGTTTTTAGTTTCCCGGTAGTTTATATATATATATATATTTTTTTTTTTTCAATTTGGTGATATTTTAAAATCGCAAATCGCGCAACCGTGACAGCAACAGCAACAGCAGCAGCGGCGGCGGCGGCCGCACACTAGCAAATTACAGGCCGTTTATTTTTCCACATTATAACCCCACTAATGAAGCGATAATAAAACAATTTTTATTGTGTTTGGCCGGCGTTCAAATGCTGTGCAACGCTTGCTCTGTGTACTACTTTGACGGAATGGAAAAAGGGGAACGTATATACACCATAATATAGTTTGCAGTGTATGTGTGTATATATAAGTACTACTGTACCGTCGCACTATAAATACAAAAAAAATATATATATTATAATATTATTATTATATTCTTTAAACGTGTGCGGGTTAATATATATATATATATTTTTTTTTTTTAAACGTCGCAGTTAAATGTCTTGGCGATCACATAGCGCATTGGCAATAACAACAACAATAGAGTAGCAAAGCGGCGGTCGCACGAGATAAATCGGATAAAATAAAAAAAAAACCATACCTACTTGTAACTGTAAATCATCTTGTAGAAAACCGGGCCGCTCGTGTTTCTTTAATCTCCATCTTAGTCCATCGCTCGGTTTTATTTGGAAATACTAAAACAGTTATAGGCGAGGACCTAACCGCGAAAGCTTAGCCCTTAAAACGGCTATAGTTGGAAATTTTCAACAACAAATAAAAGCTATGTAAACTTATTAATTTTGTTTGTTTAAGTTTTTTTGTTTCGATTAAAAAGGCAAAACTGAATTTGTAGTTTTTTAACAACCGAGTCAAATGGGGTTATGTTTATTGTAAGGTTTAAATAATGACATTTCACACTTTTCTTGTTATTTTTATGGCAAAAAAAACTGTTGTAATAATATCAACCACATATGTTATATAACAAGATAAATTATTCATCGTTTGTTTTTTTATTTTAAATAATTGTTTCTAATAAATAACTACAGATAATAAATAATATAAAATGAAATACCTTCCTAAATCACCCGAATTTGAAACTATAAACTAAATAATTTATAGAAACGGATAAAACAATTTTTTAGGCTAATTTAAACTCCGCTTGTGTATAATAAACGAATATCGGTTTGACATATTTTGTTTTAATTAAAACTAAAATCACAGCAAACAGGTGAATTCTTATGTTTTCCTAAAAATCTACTTATAAAAAACCTCTGAAATAGATTCATAAACGCACTTACAATGTTACACAAAAAAAAAAAAAATGTTTGTAAATCGCCAATCGGCACAAAAGACTTTGCCCGCGTTTATCAAACAACAACAATGGACTGTTGTACATATTATTATTATACCTACCTTATAATAGTATATTATATACTAGACATGAGCCGGAGTATAAATACACACCGGTGTAGGTATAATATTATTATGAAATTGGATTTTTATATATTCAAAGCGTGGCCCCTTTGGTGGTTTCGACCTTTAACAAATTGTTCTCATTGTGGTCGGCCAAATGATCGTGCGAGACACTGCGCAAATGTCATTAGCGCCAACGTGTGTGTGCGCTCTGATGATCTGAAGATAAAGATGACTAGGTGGTGTTATTGTTTGGTTCTCGACATCATTAACGTCTCGATCTTTTAGCGCCTTATTTATATAGACTGATGCTTCACACAGAGTACCGCCGCCGTCGAAAACCCACAGCCAAGTTTGGCGTAAAACCGTGAAAAATGAATTTTGCTCACCGCCGCCGGCGTGTACTGTATGATGTGTATTATATAAACCGAACCGAAAAAAAATAATGAAAAATAAAAATATCCCGTGTGGCGGCTCGCAAAATATGTTACTGTCGGCTAGCTCTTTGTGTAACCCAATCGTTGCGGTCTGCCGAAATTGCAGACTCCGGTCATCCGACACGTTCGATGGTTGTCGCTAAACCGCGTGTGTCCCCGTGATATAGGCCAGTCATATTATTATTATTATTATTGTTATACAATAACAGTAATAGCGGTAATAATAATAAAACCGCGCGTGTGTGTGTGTGTGTGTGTACGAATCGTTTACGAATCCAAATGCCAATGCAAATAATAAACCCTTTTCGAAAGGGCGGGCGGGATCACGACCCGGCGACGGCGGTAAAAAAATGATACAATATATTATATTTTTTTTTATAGGTAAAACGTCTGACGGGTCGGACTGCGATTCGGAGCCGGGCATACCGCTCAAACGCAAACAGCGCCGGAGTCGGACCACGTTTACCGCTCTTCAGCTGGACGAACTGGAAAAGGCTTTTGAACGCACCCAATACCCGGACATCTACACCAGAGAAGAACTGGCTCAGCGCACCAAACTCACCGAAGCCCGGATACAGGTAAACACAGTCACAATATGCTTTTCAATAGCTCATATTCGTTGATCCAAAACCATTGGCGCCAGACTGTATCTGCTATCTTGCTATAACAAACTGTGCCCTTGCACAGGATCCAGATTATGCATAATTGATGCTATTCACGTTGAAGATGCCAGTTGTATTATGGCAATCCGGTCTGTAGTTCGAAATGTTGGAGCAATCTTAAACCTGTACTGAATGCCAGACAATATCATTAGGCTAGACAGGCTGGGAATATGTCTTAGACAACTTGCGTTGTAGTGAATCTAATGAACACTACTTTTTCCAATCTGCATTTGATTCTCGTGGCATAGCCCAGTAAATCGTCATCGATAAAGTCATTTTTGGAGCATCGTTGTCGTTAGCATGATTTGTCCATTTGCCTCCTAACGTCTGATGCTCATCTCTGGCGAATGGCGGGGTTTTTTTTAGCTGCCTGGGAGTGTCTTGGCTCTGTTAGGGTAACAAATGTCTGACTTGTCTTACACGCATTATAATTGTTATTTTTTTTTTTGTTCCCACCCAGGTATGGTTCAGTAACCGCCGGGCCAGACTGAGAAAGCAAATGTCTAGCAACACGGGAAGTTCGACACCGGGTTCCGGTGGATACGGCATGGGATTGGCCTTAGGTTTCTCGCCTTCCGCCCAGCAAACCCAGCAACAGTCGTCGGCACCCAATGCCTCTACCACGCCCGCGTACATCATGTCGCCGCAACAGTTGCACGAACCTTACAACACAACGGACGGATACAAAGGTATTGTATACTACAGCGTTAATTACACAACATCTATACATTCCCAAACGATTCTCTACCTCCACTCGATTGGAACGGAGTCGTTCCTTTCGCTGGAAACAATTATTCCTCCTCTATATCGAATTGCAACATATTATTGTATACATCAATTTATTATTGTTTGGCGCAGAAGACAATCACCATCAACAGATGATCAAAGACGATCAGCAGCAGCAACAGCAACAGCAGCAGCAGCAGCAGCAGCAGCAACAACAGCAGCAGCAACAGCAACAGCAGCAAAACAACATGATGTATGGCGGTCTGGGAGCTACCACTTTGATCGACCACGACAACCGACCTCACAGCAACATCAGCACCGAAGCAGCCACGGCGACGTCTTACATTGGCATCACGGCTGGATCCTACGCCACCACGCCGTTATACACTTCAACCCCGTCGTTATTGGCTTCCCAGGTAAGAAGTTTACATGTCTTATTGTGTCCCGAATGCCTGCGAATGATTCCTGCCCCGAGATTCGTGAATTTGATGTGATCGTGTAGAGTTTGTGGATCCGTGATGAGTTGGTGACTCTTAACGAATGCTATCTCTGATACCTCTGGAGGAACGCATGATGTTCATTTTTCATCCGATATTTTGACATGCCCATTTCCAAGGATCGTATGCGGTTACACGTGCGGTTCAATAGCCTTTTTATTATGTTCTCTGAAAAGGGTTGTCGTCTTTGGGGTCGAGACGACGCTTGTCGTTGGCTCGTAAAAAAGGGGTCGGACACTATTTACCGGGTCGTTATTTATAGCGTCTCGACCAGAGGTTATACAACCCATTGTGTGTCCCTATCGTCGTTGTAACTATTACTAGATCAGGGTTTTTTTTTATTATTATTATTATTAAACGATGGTGGTGTTTTTTTCACTTTTAGATGGGACAGTTGAACGGAAGCAGTCAGCTCTCTCAATTGCACATCGGAAGCAACGTCGGTACCGGACATCAAGCCACGTCGCCAAGCTTGTTGTCGGGAGCTTCGCAAACGTACCAGATCGGATCGGCCACTCCCAACACTCCTACCATGATCACTCATCATCAGTTGTCTCCGGTTTCCGCCAACATCACCCTCATGGGACAGCCCAACGGTAATTACAAGGGTTCATTGTCGATAGAGTTACACTGCTAGGTTGGGTTAGATTTAAGTAACAAAAAAATATACCTATCTGTTATGCATTACTAATAGAGTAGACGGTTAGGTTAACAATTAGGATAAGGACTATACATTTTCTATTTTCGACAAACCAACAACTGAGCCTAATTGGATCTGATGGAGTAAAGGGAGTCAAAGTTCTCAATTTATACCATCCTTTTTTTGGGGAACTGTTCTAGCTAAGGTATTTAATATTTTCATTAAATGAAGAGGTTAAAGACGAGTCGTATTGCAATATTGCGAGACGATGATAAGAAATGTGCACTATTGTTAATACAATTTGAAAAAATTTGGATAGCATTTTAGGACAGGGGAAAAAGGGTTGGTTAGGCGAGGTTGTGTATTTAATTAAGCAATTACAATAAATTTCAAATTATAAAATAGTTCTTATCACTTTAAAGTATTTTTCGCATAATCGCTACTGTAATTAGGGTACTTGATTTTTTTATAAAACGTTAAATGTATTTCATTTTATATTATAAGTTTTGTAATAAATTAATAAACGAGTAAAATAATAAACAAAGCTAGTAAACAGATTGAGTAAATTAGTAAATCAATAGAGTAAAAGAGTAAACAAATAGAGAAAAAGAGTAAAAATTGAGAAGAAATAGAAAAATCAAGTAAATTGAGTAAATTAGAAAATCAATCAATAACGAGTAAATAGAGCAATAAATCGAGTTAATCGTTAAACAATCTAGTAAATAATTTGAGTAATTAGTAAATAAACGAGTAAATTATCAATCGAGTAAAGTGTAAATAAATAGAGTAACAAATCGAGTATATATCGTGATTATTGTTATTGTTATATTAGTAACACAAGCCTAGACACATAATCGCGTTAATCAGATAAGTCGTGTTGGGTTGAAAACGGATGTACCTACCAATAATTATATTATACCAAACAATGATATGGTAAAACCAAGTAATTTGACACTTTAACCTACAACGTTTGCTTGCATGCGTGTGTTTACAGGTGCGAACGGCGGCGACAGCCTGATCACGGTCTCGTCGTCCGAACTGGTGTCCATGCAGAGCCCGTCCAGTTGGTCGACCCTGTCCAATCACCATGGTCATCAGATGCCGCCCATGAACCCGGCCCGGATCAGCCCGCAGCCCACGTTGATACCGTCGTCGTGCATGGGCCAGATGAGCCCCACGTCGGCCGCGTACCACGGCTACCAACCTCGACAGACGCACCCGCCGTTTTACACGTGGTACTAGTTGGTACGCGTGTAAAGAAAACGGCTGTTTTTTAAAGACCTCCCAAAAAAATAAGATGAAATATAAACCTAACAACATTATAAGATAAAAGTCTGTGTGTGTGTGTGTGACTACCGACTTTCTTTACGTTTCGAATCAAAAGTAAAGATCCACTACTATATTATAATGTATGAGTAAAATAATATTATAATGTTAATATATATATATATTTTTTTTTTATTTCATCATAGTAACCGTAAGGTTTTTTAATATTAACAACATTGCACGACGTGTGCAATGTGAGCAAACGATCAATGTTCCTTAATCTTATTTGTATGATCATTATACGATTGTGTAAAAATTAGTTAATATAAAAACTATATATTTTTTTTTTAATAACTGAAATTTGATTCCTATTTTATGTTTTCTTTTAATCTCTGTACAGTATATATTATTTAATAACCTACGATTAAACAAAAAAATAATAATAATAATGCAATAATTGTGTTAGACACGTTAGACCGGGTTGGGTTAGTCCTAAAAAAAAACCTTGTCTAAGTTGTGTACCTAATTATTATTATTATTATGCGTTTATATTTTGTATATTATTACTTTTTTTTTTTTGTTGCATAGAAATGTGGAATAGCATTATTATTTTTTGTGTATATATAAATGTGAAATATTTGTTTTAGAATAATTATTATTATTATTTGTTTGTTTATCCGAGCATTTTTGTGTTTTTTTTTTTTTAACGGTAAAGTTGTAGTTTATGAGTTGTTTTTTTTTTTTGTTGATTTTAGCTAATTTTAAACGCGCACATGTACAATTACATTGTAATATATTATACGTGAGATGTACATCATATGCAATACTTAGCAATTTTCAATATTTTTCTGTTCATTTCGAGCCCTCTACTTCTCTTTATTAAATATTAATTTTTTTTTGCTTCTTTTATAAACGTGTAATTTACCTAATATTGTCTTGTACGTATTTTGATCTGATTAAAGTGTATATTTTTATTTCACCAAAGTTGTTGTACGCGAGTTTTAACCTACTTAGAAAAAAAAACCCAGTACAGTCGGGTCGGGGCATAGTGGGGACGGAGAGGCCACAGGTCTACAGATTTTATCATAACTGAAAGTGATAAAATCACTTTTAAATAAACCCTTCGATGCTAGTATGTTCGAACCGGTTAAAGTGGTTTAGAAGATATCGTGGGACCAGCAATAATGTACTTAAAATTTACTAATATTTAGCCCTGTGTAGGGTGGATACGATTAGGGATTTGATCGCCTGTCTATAAAAAGATACTGTCATAGTTACCCGTGTATCGTAATTAACAATATAACGAAAATATTTGCATTACCTGTTGACCGTTGATTCACTCACACATAGCAACCTAGAAACTGACTACGGCCAAAGTACCTTCCAGATATGATTTTTTGATCTATAGAGCAGCTACACGAAGAAATCGGTTCAGCGGTTTACGAGATATCGTGGATCCAGATACAAAAAAAAAAAAATACAAAAAACACATCATTGTAAAAACAATACTTTCTCAGCTCCGCACCGAAGCTAAAACTGAGGCGGTCAAGTGTGATCATCAATTAGATATTTAGTATAATAAATTTAATTTTTTCCCTCTAAATACTCCAATAAAAGTATTTCTAAAAAAAAAAACCCATTTTAACAATAACTTTGTTTTTTTTTTTTAATCAATTTTCTTGTATTAATTTCCAAATATTACCTATTTATATATATTAGAAATCGAATGGACTATATATAATATGTAACACGAAAAAACACTTGTCATTGTAAAAAAAATATATATATATATATATATGCATATTCTCAGAAACTTCGTGTAGTTTACTTTTCAAAACGTACCATCTTCTTATCTCATCTAAGAAAAAAAAACCCAAAAATAGTTTCGGTGTTGATGTATTTTGGTTTAATTTAATTTTACTACGTTTCAAGGTAATAAAAAAAATCAAAATCGAATCAAAAACTTTCTAATTTTTGCCAATGACTTGGCCTATTCAATCTGTTCTGCTGACTAACGTTACCAAACTAAGTATTTCGGTTGAGAAAATATTAAAAAAAAAAACAAAAATGCCGGCCGACTGTTATTGTTGTTTTAGTACGGTTTAAACGGGGCTAAATCCGAAGATTAGTTTTTAATTAAGACAAAAAAAAAAGCTGGCTGATTGTAACTGAATCTCTAAAAGTATATTATGTGTTGATCGAAACACACATCCAGTCGATCATAAAATGTGTTTATGATAAATCAAACGGACAACTTACAACTTGGATAGATAAAAAAAAGTACTTGAAAAGTAATACAATTTTCTGCCAATCAAAAAAGCAAATGTATGTGATTTTTTTTTTTCAGAAATTGCAACTATGATGATAGTATAGTCTTAACTATATATGTTCTGGCCAAACGTTTTTTAGTTGTTTTATAATATCTGGTCTTATATCTATCTTTATATATCCATATATATTCTTATATATCATTTTATATCCTTTTATATCCATATATATCCTTACATGTACATCATTATATGGATATATATATATATCCTGCAACTTGATGTATCTGCATGAAGTGAGGATCCATGTCAACAAAAAGCACACACACAATTTAACATTTGATGGGCTTGTGTATGAATTACATTTGGGTTTTTGCTTTTTAAATTTTGTAAATGTAAGCAAAACGTGACATATAACCGTTTTTATTTAAAAGAAAAAAAAAACAATTTTTTTTATATAGTTGATAAAAAAAAAATTACCAACCAAAATTGAACTCTTTAGCCCTATACCAATACTATTTATTATCAATAGGAAAAACCCAAAAACACATTGATTGTCAACGAAATTATTAATAACTATATTATACAGTCTACAGTTTCGCATCAAATCTTACACTTGAAAGTGATCTAATCACTTTTTATGGTAATAATTTTATTTGTTATTTAATTTATTATAATAATTCAGTAAGACTGAAATGTAACCCAGTAAAGAAGCCGTCAAACTCTTACACTCTTACAGAATTGAAATAAGACCAACCAAAGTGACCAAAGCTTTTTTTTATATGGCTTTACTCGTGGAAAATACTTTAAAAAAATACTTTCACGAAGCTTATACAGATTATAAAATTGACGCTGTCGATTAGTTTATTACAACCGCCATTTCTTAAATATTGCCTATACAAAACTCCTTAAAAAACGCTGCCCTCTTTCAATTCGCTATTATACCTTGCGCTCTATTGTGTTGCCTATGTGTTTGTTTTTAAGGCGTTGCTCATAACTTGCACCATTGCCGTGGTGGACACTGGTTATGACAGTTTTGGCCTAAGCACAAGTAGAGTAATTGGCCTATAAGTATTTTTGTACTAATTCAACGATATTTCTATTTAAATATTTGTTTTAACCAACTATATTAATTATATGTATAAATATTTATTTATTGTGTCTTTATTTATTAATTATTATATATAGTATACATATAATACTTAATATATAATAATAATAATAATAATAATAATATAATATACATAATTTTTCGATGATAATCACATTAGCCTTAAAATAAAATCCAATTAAAACGATAATATTTGTAACTCATTCGTCGTAATACTCGTCGGCGTACTCGTACACGGGCCTGGCGGGTCTTCTGCTCGCCATCCTCGTCGGTTTGTAATGGTCGGCTTGAGCTCTGGGCCTGGACGCGTGCCGGGCGCTCACCCTCGGCGGCTGATGGTAGACGGCCTCGTCGGCCGCCGACGACCTCACCACCGGTCCCTTCGGTCTCATTGCGTGAGCACCGGTCGTCCGCTTTGTGGTGGCCTGTCGCGTGGCCGCCGGCACTTCGTCCTCGTACTCTTCGACCCGTTCGGCCACCGGTTTTTTCCTCAGCGACACCGCAAACGGCGGTGGCGGCGACTTGGCCACCGGCGCTTTGGCCAATAATTTAGATCTGATGGACGACGCCGGTGTCTGCTGTGGCTGTGGCGGCGGCGGCGGTGAAGAGGACGACGGCCGACGTTTGTCCACTCTGTCCGTTTCCTCGTAGTCGTCCGGCCGCGCGCCCTTTGCGTTGGCCGCCGACTCCACTTTGCCGGCGCCGGCTGTTTCCTCTTCCACGTATTCCTCCTCGTCCTCGTCGTAATATTCCGGTTCGGCGGCGGCCGTTGGCGGAGGCGGTATTTTTCCTTTGGACTTGCCCGGCGGTTCGGCTGTCGTCGTCGTCGTCGTACTGGTCGTCGTGGTGGTCGTTGTGGACGGGGCGACCGCGGCGGTCTGTTGGCCGCCCGTCCTGGCCGTGTAATCGTACCGGTCGCGTTCGTTGATGGGCACCGGCCGCCTTATCTTGGGCGGCGCTCTGGGTTTGTCGTACACCGAAGTTATCTGGTTGGACGCGTTTTTCGTGTTGACCGCGGACGACGCTCGATGTTCTTGTTGTTGATGTTGGTGTTGTTGTTGGTGTTGTTGTTGCACAGGTTCGTTGTCGTTCGGACGGTCAGACTCGGAGCTGCTTTCGGCGTACTCCGCTTCCAAATCCACTGGCTTGTAATCTGAAAACATAAAACAATATTGTTTTCAGTGGAAAACTTGTAATATGCTCGAACATCATGCCCATTCTAAATTATTTATTGTATTTTTTTTTGTGCTCAACTTACAAGTTGTTAGTTTTATTTTTTAAGTACAAAAGACAATTAGAAAATATTGATCAACTTTGGAGGTGACTATTTAAAAATAACCTATAGAGAAAATAATTGGTCATATTAAAAAAAAGTCTAATAAAAAATCGATGTAACTTTCTTAGATACAAAATGTATTATACCCGTGTTATGGGTTACCGCAATTTCTTTTCATAAATAGTGTATGCCTGTTATAAAACATTGGCAAAGCTAATACAACTCAATAATTGCCACACGGCCGCTTTCAAGATGGTGTATTGATGTACGTTATTGGCATAACAAGTAATTTATTGTTGTTAGGCATAAGAAAATTGTATATTAAACTGAGCATGAATGGGAATTTAATCGACTAGTCGAGCATATATAAGACGTTTAATGTATATTATTTTCAAATGTTTCTTCCTGTGTTTACAACGAGTGCGTGACTCGTATACTGAAACGAATAAAACATATATTTGTTTTAAATGTTTTCTTCGTTATAATTAATGAAGAAATTTGTCAATATTTGACGCTTAAAAATAAAACAATTATCTACATTTGCACTGAAATAGCAACTGTCCCTTATCACCACGTGTATTCTGTTGTACTTGTTCCGAGTAGGTTATTATCAATTAAATATGTGACTAGGTTGAGTAGAACTGTCAGTTAAAAAAAATATATCGATAGAAAATGGCGACTCGTAGAAAAAGAGTAGATCGAAAAAATGTATTGCAAAAATTTGTTTGTGTAAATAATAATAACATTACAATTTAGCGTTGTTTCTGTAATATTACTAAACACAAGCAGGTGAACTCATAAAGCAAAATTTTAAAAGATATACTTATTTTAGCGTAGACTAACTAATACAAAATTGTTTACTTGTCATACTATTTATAAAGTGACACTAAAACTATGTTCTGGTTTTCAGTTATAACGTTGGAACACTTTGAGCTTAACGTTATTATTTATTTCAAATATATATTTATCATCCTTTTCTAAAACTTATAAAAATAAATTACTTACCAATAGTCTCTTAAGTAAAGAATTTGAAACAATAAATCATAATAAAAATTTAATTATTATTGAAAAATGACGGTTTTTTTTTGTAATTTAGTAAATTAATACAAGATAATATTAATTGTTTTTTATTTAAATATTGGTCGTTCCAAAATGTTGACACCGATTTTTAAGAGGTGGAATTGGTGTTTGTAGGTTTAAATGAATACAAAAAAGCACAACTATCTCATACTACATGCCAAATTAAAGAAGGTTTGGTAAATAATAATAATCTCAAATCGTTCCAGTATTTAGCTAAAAATGTAGAAAGGCAATTGGCAATATTTGTGGAAATTGTTATTATTTTTTAAAAATAAATAAATAGTTATTTACTTTTGAGTTATGACTAAAGTATTTGTTATTTTAAAGTTTCGATAGTCCGACGTTAGGATAATTTTTTGCTAAACATTTTGGGGCTGGTGGAAAGAATATAATAAAAACCATTCAATCGTATCATATTTTATACAGTCTTAAACATTTTAGAGTAGGTAAGTCATGACTGATCATAGGTTCTAGGGTCAACAATCCAAGAGCGGAGTGGATTTAACGAACCTCAGAACTGTGGGATGCATTAAAAGAACTTGCAGATGATACAAGCTGACACAAAATGCACAAGGACGTTATACATGACTGTCGTTAGGTCCACACTTGAACACAAACTTAAACGATAACTGACTCTATTAACATTGATTAGATAATAGATATCTTTATCTAATCTGTGATATTATTATGGAATTTATATGCTTGGATCTGCGGTCACAATGATTTAACTATGGAGTGAGCTATCTGATTGCACATAGTCTGTGACTTGAATTCGGTTGGATTGTATGGAATGCAAGTTGGCCTAATTGAAAAAGCGAGGAGACGGTTATTTAAGCCGATTATTTTGATTTGTTAAGATGAAATGAATACATAAGGGGGAGTCTAGGAGTTGCATCGATTGTGGAGAAAATGAGAGAGAATAGGCTGAGATGGTTCGGTCATGTTATGAGAAGAGACGAGGCAGAGGCAGTGAGAGGTGTTGTGAAGATGAATGTAGAGGGGAGAAAAGGAAGACCAAAGAAAAGATGAATGAACGGAATTTAGAGTGATATGAGGATAGCTGGAGTATTTGAACGAGATGTAGAAGCCGGGTGGCCGACCCCGTGTAGTTGGGAGTGTAAAGCGAAGATAAAGAAGAAGATTATTTTGATTTGATACTGACTGTTTAGCCTGGAACTTTTCCTGGTGGGTTTCTTGACCATCGGAACGTGCTCCACCGGATCGTCGTAGTACTCTTGGTCGTCGTACTCATCGTCCACGTAGTAGTATTCGTAGATAGGTCTGCGCCTCCGGTACGGCGGCCTACGTTTCCGCCCTTGAGCATACCCTCCGGCCACCACCCTGCGACCTTCGTACGGCTGTTGTTGATACTGCGGTTGATATTGCTGCTGCTGCTGCTGCTGCGGTGGTCGTGGCGGAGCTACGGTGGTCGTGGTCGTCGTAGTCGTGGAAGTCGTGGTCGTTTCGGCCGCTTTGTACAGGGCTTCGTTTCTGAAAACAAGACAAGAATAAGATAGACGGTTGGGTTAGGTTAGATTTTGCCTGACCAAAACGCACTTGGAAATTTCACTCACCGGTTAAAGTATTTTGGCGAGCTGTTGCAGTCTATTTGGGACACGAAATGGCAAATGAACGTCTTTTGATCGAACGCGGTGTAGTTGGCGCACAAGAAATCGAACCTCGTGCCGAACAAACAATGGTGGTACAGCTGAATTCAAAAAGGACGAGCATTGCGCAAATTATTATCGTTGTCGACGGAGAGGAGACGTTTTACTCACTTGACATTTATGCGGCACGCTGGCGTAGAATCCGTCGTGCAGGCCATCGCACTTGAATTCTATTTCTTCCGGCACCGAGTTCAGGAACGGATAGTCCGTCAAGTTGTAGCCGTTGAGTTCCCTGGGGAGATTCGGGTCATGCACGTAGTCTATCTGAGGTATGCCTGTCAGCGTGGGCTTTGTGGACACAACGGTGACGTTACTGACGATTTGCTCGCCATTTTCGTCGAGTTCAATAACTTCATCGTCCTGCGGATGACCGTCAGAATAATAATATTATTAACACGTTAAACGCAAGCCAACGGACAAAATCGATAGAGCCTATTTGAGTTAAGATTTTTACACCGATTACCATTCCCGCCGATTGATAAGAATTTGCATTGATAAGAGATAGTACAGCGATAAGAATGATGGTTGATAAGAACACTAATGCCTAATTAAGGAATCTAAATGTTTGCTAGTTCCAGATAAAATGTAGTATTTATAAATAAATTTCTATCATTAAACTCAATTATTAAACGAGTATGACTTACCAAAACGCCTGATCTAATCGCTCAATAAAATATAAACTTTAGAGTAGATTATAACGTTAAAATTAATAAAATGTATTATACACAAAGAATGGATTGTACTATTGGTTATAAACATCAATATTATTATTATTATTGATATACTTTTTCCAAACTTGTAGTACTCATTGGTTATCACGTTTTACTATACTATTTTATTAAATTAATTTTATAATTTATCGGTGATAACAATCCATAACTTCAGTGATGCTCAGTTCTGAAACAATAATTTCTTATAAAGAATTTTTTTTTTATCACTAGTTACTCTTGAGTTAAGAAGAGTTTGGTTTGTTTTCGTTTTCAGCAATTGCATTGCTGCTTAAATAAGTAGTGCACCATCTGGTTTTATCTAATCTGTGACAACACTATGAACCCGTGTCATGTAATACTATCAAGGATAATAAAAAATACACGCATTAAATGTGCGGTTAATTAATACACATGTATAGAAAGTAAAAAAATAATAATGATTAGGCGTGGTAAGAACTTATAACTATTCATGGAAAATAATGAAAATGTGCACGTGGGTTGTAATAGGAGTGTATAAACTCATATTCTAATCTGAACATCTTAAGGAAGTATTAATTAATTTTTATTTCATGTACGACATTTAGAAATAACAATATTTTATTCTTGCTGTTCGCTAGTTTTTTTCAAATATTTAGGATTGACCGCTTTTAAATAATATTACAGTAGCCTTAATTTTTTCGGACCTTGGTCTACCACTTGTGCCTCTCACAGTTATTTTCACTGTCTTGACTATATTTTCTTCATCGTTTCAATAAACGGCTAAATCGTCTATAGAATCAATTTACTTCATCTCATTTTAACATTTCGACATGTCTTATAGAGAAAGTGGATTAGAAATAATAGATCAGAGAGAAGGTATTAGAGATACTAGATTGCAGGACATATCCATGTATTGATGTATCTGCATTAATTGTGGATACTCTTAACTGAGTTTATTATCCCTACCAAAAGCAACATGAGGTAAACATTAGATGTAAGTGACTTACCGAAATTTTTTTCTCCGCTTTGGATTTTGCTTGAAGTACAACAGCGGACCCTCTTAATGCATCTAGCTCTCCTACCAGCAAAAACCATGATAGTACACCTGTAACGAACAAAACATAATAAATATGCAATATTATTATATTTAAGTACAACGGTAACGTTAAACAAGCAACAATTATTATAATAATTAGTCGTTTTAATATTATGCCATCTAATCGACTAAACATTAATGCAATCAACATTAGAAATTCTCAAATATTAGATTGGTGACCAACTTTTAGTTTTTGGCTAATATTTTTTTTCTTCGACCTTCGAAACGAATGGTTTATTTTTGTTTTAAACACCTATTAACGCGTACACAAGATATGATACTATTAGTTGTGTAACTGCGCTCAAATATTTTTAACGATTGTCGACGTTCACATTGATTCGGTTAAACCAGTTTTAACCGGTGAAGGTACTATCAGGAACGCCTTAAGCAAAGTGCTCTATCCATCGTCAAGATGTCAACGTTTCTTGACCATTGCGATATCTTTTGAAGAAGGAAAAACATTATTATTATGAGCTACAAAAACACAATAATATTTTTTACAAGTGACGCAATTGTGTCTAAAAGTGTTTATTTTGTAAGAAGATACTACAATATGACTTATAATGCAAGTCATGGGTTTTCCCCCACCTCGTCTATTGAATCTATCATAAAAAAATATATATATATATACCTATATATATTCTAAAAACTCTGGCCGATCAAAGTATAGCAAGAGAGAAGTCCTTGGTCCAGACGAATTCACGGTGAAGACCGGTAATGTGTTTTTCTCTGGTCCAATGCTTTTTTCAACACATGGACATTAACCCCGTGTAGGGAATGTGACTTTTTTTAAATTTTCAAGGTTATTTTTGTTGTTATTTTTGGAATATACTCGACGGCCTCGCTTTCTATATTATTATTGTAAATAATAAGTCTATAAAAAAAAAATGTTTTATGGTAACAATACAAAATGGCCAAATGTTTGCCGGGTTTGATTGCGCACTCTCATCACAATATTTATACTGAAAATAGGTTTTGTCTAGACTATATATTATAATGGTAGACATACAACAATTTACAACCAGAAAACACCTAATTGATTTTTTTTTTAAATGTGTGAAATGTGTCGAATAAAACATGTTTTGCTCACGTTTCCTGTTCAAGTGATTCTTTAGTCATGCCCAATCGCTTATTGGAAACCCTAATGGAAAGTTAAAAAAACAATTGTAACTTTCAATTGGTCAACAATCAATAAATATGTAATGAAATTATGTTATACATAATACAGGTGCTCGCATGTTGGCATCGTTTGGTCGAGCTCTTTTGTGAATGTCAAACACAGCTTGTGATTTAATTAACGACTGCCTAACTGTGTTGTTACTTATTACAAACAAGTGTTATATTTTTTAACTAATATTTGCAATGTATCTTTGATGTATCATAGACGTATAATTGTAATTAATTTGTTTACTTAAAAACATTAAACGATATTCATAAATTTGTTATAATTTTTAACTTAGTAACCAATAAAAAAAATTATTTTACACCGTGAAATCCGACTCATACTTAACCGTTAGTTTTTTTTTTTCAAAGTGTAAGTCAATAATTGCCAGGTTACATAATTTGATATTTAAGTATTTTATGTGTACACATACAGCTTAAATTATTGTTCTGTATGTATATTGTGCAAGTGTGTCTATAATGTAACACACGTTTAATGGATTGTCTCTATTAGTGCGTTATGGAATAAATTATTATTTATTATTGCTTTATGTAATCTTAGACAACTAATCGAGAATCGTTTTAAACAGTTGACCAACGCCTTTCGGCATGTCTTTTGGTGGAACTACACACATATATTATTCAAGGTCCTTCTTCTCGGTTACACATTTTTTGGCTCCAAGCGCTTTCAAATGATAATGTACAAACATGTTTACGTTTTAAATTAACAAAGTGAAACCTTTTTTTAGACTTTTTTTTTTAATAACGTAAAATTATCTAACTATTGTTTAATTAATGTAGTTAATTATGTGATAAAAAAACCAACTAAATAAAAATGTACATCCTGCTTGACTATTTTTATAATAATTAAATTTAAAAAAAAAACACAGTATTTGGTGTATTTAAAATGTTTGTAATATAATATTATACTTACAAATTGTCAGCTTATAAACGAATATGATTTTGAGCCGTCTCATTTCACTCTGAAACATAAACAATAATAAAAGATAAATAATATTATAATATATTTATGTTTTATCTTATTTTTTTCACAATACAAAAATGTAATATTATACTATATAATAAGTAGAGTAGGGCATTAAAAAAAAAAAAAAAACAATAAATTATTCCAATAATCGTTTATTTGTGTAAAATTTACGTAAAAAATATGATTTAAAAAATCGAACAAAATTATCATAATATTTTATGTGGTCTGTTGTAATATTATACATTACTCTTTTACTAAGCTAAGAGTATAGTTTTCTGAATGTGGTTTTGTGGACCGTTCATTGTCGGTTGGACAAGAAAAATTAATTTTAATTTTATAGAAATAAAGAGGAAGCACGGCGACAATATAATATTGCAAAACGTTTTTTTTTTTTTAATAATTGGCATTATTATCGCTCTGTATAACACAACCGTGCACTGGAAGTTCAGTTCAGAAACCAGTTTGTACCAAATGGTGTTATGGCACGAGCAAAATATGTGTATACTAATATAATGTTATTATCGTTTTGATACACAGGTATATTAATATATATTATATATATATATTGATATCATTTTTGAATTTAAAAATACACTATAATATCTGGGTGTGCCCGTTAACAGCCTTGACTGGTTTGTCTCTCATTTATGCAAAGACATAATAATATGCAATGTAATGAACTAATATTTAGATATAATATTATGATAAGTGTTGGTGTGAAAAAAAAATCAGAGAACACACACAAACACACGGGGAGATTGACAAAGAGACACAAGTAAAATAATGAATATAAAAAATCCTATTCGGTTTGCCATTTTACAATGCATAAGATTCGTTTATACGAAACACTAACACGTCTACATATTATATATTATATATTATTATAATATAATATTATTATTATTATTATCACTGTTACTATTATTATGCGTTGTGTATGAGGGTTTTGTTATTTGGTTGTAATAATATGGACGTTTCGTCGTTATGGTCGATTGCTGCGAATTCAATGGGTATTTTTTTTTTTTTTTTACACAAGTGTTTCATTTATGATGAAATAAATCTATATTGCGGTAATTATTGCAACTGATACAGAATATGTGCACAAGTCGGACAACAAAAAGACATATAGGTGAAATGTACACCATACACAATACCTGGAACTTGCCTTTTTTTATTAGAACAAAAAATTGCAATACGGTTTGTGTACGCCCAGCCTATTGCGCTCGTCCAAACGAATATTATTTATGATAATAATAGAATATCATACTATTAATTAAATACAGCTGCTGCATTTGTAGACTAATGTTACACATGTAACCGGATAAGACAAGGGAAGTCATCTAATGGGAAAGATTAAGTAAAACATGTTTGGTGACCCAAGTAGGTATGAGGATTCGTTAGGCATGATCTACACATGATTAATATGCCAAATGGTTTAACCTTACCGTTGTACGACAATTGCAATCTAGAACGATCAGCAAGCTATCCTTCGACGCCGACTTGACCTAAGTAATCGATTGATCTAATATTGTGATTGACAAGAAAACGGATATTCAATGTCAACATGTTTTCATAAGATGACAATCCGCGGTTTGTGTGCATAATATAAGAAATGTCCATTTTTGTTTTAGATATTCAACTTATGTTACAGTTTAACAAGTTTATTGATTTTCAATTGATTACATCTAACACAGTTTACATACTTATAAGTTACCAAGTCTCGATTCATTTTATATTATAGCCATTTTATATGTATAATTTTCATTAATCATTATTTGTATATATTTCAGCTCTTTCTAACGAGTAGAAGTCACACTAGAGTTTCTATTTTTTTACGTAAATTGTGCATACATTAATTTAATTGTTTGTCATTTTCAAAACGCTATTACTTGTACATGTGCGTTAAAATCATCATATTATGAGCACAACTTATAGACAAATTAGTGATCTTCACTCGACAATTAACTGCCAGTAAAATGTTTGCATAAAATAAAAATTGCGCTATTTTGGATTTCTTTTGGACCTTGTTGCCCTGTCCTATTTACATCCTATCTACAGCTAAATTCAAAATAACGAGCAAATAGTTTAGTTTAAATGTCGCAGTGGGAAAACAATTGAGCTCCAATTTTTAAAAATCTAAATCTGTGCGGGTTAGGTTAGGTTAAGTTTGCGAAAATGGCGGTATTTACAAAATTTATCTAATTTTTCAATAAGTTAATCTGTCAAATAACTTAAAAATGTAACTAACGTTTACAGGATTTTCACAGCATAATATATCAGTCAAGGTCTGTGTGTGGTCTAATACAATAGCTACAAAGGTATCCTTAACAAAGAAACGTCTTAAAGTTTGAATTGAAAATGAAATGAGATTTGCTGCGTTTTTAAATTCAGGACTTGTACACTAAAACGATATGACCAATCGACAATAGCACTATGGGGAGATAGTTATTTCGGTCAAGAACCTAATCAAACCTAATCAAGCCTAACCTAACCAGGATAATAGACTCGTATACGAGGCTGTGTGCCGAATTTTAAGGTCGTGCTTTCAAAACTATTTAAAAAAAATTTTAGATCACTTTGAGAACCGTTTTTTTTTTCAAAAAATAAAAGATTATAGAAATATAATAAGTTTAAACAGAATGGTTGAATTGCTATACATTTTAACGTGTACCCGCGAGTGTACACTGTACACTATTAAAAACGAACCAAAATAATTAGGATGTTTTTTTTACCAGTAATCAATCACTTGAAATATTAATTAAGACAAAGACGTCGGTTAGACGGCGATAAAAAAAATCTTGGCGCCCTGTGGTTAACATAAACCAACCTCAGCTACACGATTCAAATACACAAGTTACATCATAACAATTCCTTTCCTTTTATTCGCGAGCCAATTAAAATGTATACATACAGTTAAATTTATTACAATAAGCATTTCCCCCCACCCCCTTTGGTTTTTTTACTTTGCAAAAAAAGTTTCTAGTAAAATTTCCACGTTCGGTATACGTTCACGGTACCTATATATATTTATGATTTATGGGTATAATAATATCATGATACAATACCAAAAATAAATTATGTATAATATCTATGTAATATAGAAGACGTATAAAAACACTTACTATTCAAGACGGTACGATAAGCACCGATAATTAATATTTCAGTGAATAGCCCACCTGTTGTCTAGCCTATTAATTTTACATTAGGGTGACCTTGTCAAATGATGTGTGTGTGTGCAGTAACGCTTTGAGGGTCCAAATGAGTCCAGGCAAACTTGTATGGGCATCGATTAGTGCTAAACAAAAGTGAAGTTTGCTTTCCACTCTTTCATTTCCAGAAAATAAAATAATATTATGTATCAGTTTGATTGTTAAGCTTTAAAGATTTTCGCTTACCGTTTTAGATTGGTTTCGCAGTCGGTATAAAACAGTAACATTCGTACTTAAATATGCACATTAATTGATTTTAATTTGAAACATATAAATTGACATTTTAGAGAAACTGATTATTCTAGGTTATTGTATAATAAAACAAAAGAAAATGGAAAGGAATCACTTTCAATGTTTCATAAGCTAGTTAAAAACACCATCTCGCGCATTTTAATGGCGGTATTTGACTAATGTGAGTATGACTATACAAACAAGCGATACTGATTTATTTTCGTGCAAAATTTGAAAATCAATTAATTATACCTACCAACTTTCTATGGTCTAAAACCAAATCTGTTTATTGCAAGATAAATATGTTTTCAGTATGTAAATTAATGAAGTGTACCTTTTTATTTTAAAAACGTATATATTATACTTTAGGTTAATCTAAAAATAATGTGTGATGAAAGTTATTTATATACCTACATTGTTTTTTTTTCGTACACTTCATTGGTTTCAAATATGATTTCCACTTTTTTTTGTAGCCTGATTTTCAATTTAAGACAATAAGCTTTCTCATTCAACTAATGATATTGAACAATAATTTCCCAAGATATAGATTAATGTCACTAAAAGAAAGCTTGGGCAGGAAATCAATAACATATAAGGTTAATTTTCATTATTAAATTTAATCATGACAAAGAAATGGTAACAACATAAAATATTATACGAGTATTACTATCATAATTCTTTGTAAAAGTATAAGAAAAATGGGTTTTTTTAAATTATTATTAGCCATTTTCCAGTGTTACCAATTTTTTTCCTAACAGACGGTAGGTATAATTTCCTACTATGCATTGAATATGCGTTCAAGCAATAGAACATTTTCGATTGAAAACTATACAATTAAAATGGAGTATGAAATCATAGCCGAGTTTTAATTGTAATAATTAGCCGTTAAAAACATCTGTGACGGTAATAATTGTTCGAGTCAGATCCAAATAACGATAACGGCTATATGCACTCGTTAGTATAGTAATTTGTATGTAAGTACTTAAATCAGACAACGAGCGGTCACACTTTCATACTCACGAGTACATAGATAATTGTATTTATTTCATAATTCGTTTTAATTTTTGAGAAAATACTCATACGGTTGTTTAAATTCTAATGCACGTTCATACTCGTATGTAAATCCGTCTGCGTTTACATAACTGTATAGTATTATATAAAATATACAGTATATAAATTATTATATTATAATACAGTTATAATGAGATTATATGAAATAACAGTTAAGGGCTTGTCTACCGCAACATAAAACAACAATTATGCCTACGCTTTTTAATAATTAGTTTACAGATGATAATTATTTTAAATGCAACAAAACATGAACTTACCGGTCAAAGGACTATGCACGGTACTCTTATGCTAACAGTGAAGAATGATAAAAAGTTTGGAGCATCTCATTATACTCTGCTCATAGTGAAGTATTCGGCAAAAAAAAAAAATCCGTCAACACTTACATTTGGTTAGTTTTAACATATAAATATGTTTTTGTATTACTATGAAACCTTTCGCAAGTCGTCATGAAATAAATCACTATGATAAGAATGATTATTGATAA